GGTGCGGCAGCTACAGGAGGAACTCACGACGGTTTGGAGGCGACTAGAGAGCGCGGAGCATCAACTGAGGCTGACGCTTGAAGAGCGTGATGACCACATGGAGGGACGGGGTGGTGTTGCCACTTGTCGCTCAATGCCGGGGGAGTCACGGGATGTTGCCGCCTCGCTGCATTACGAATTGAAGCAACTCCATCAGCGCGATGTGGCGAACCAACAGACGATTGAGCGGCTGCGCGTCGAGTTGGCCACACTGAAGCGGCGTCGGGCGGAGGAGCGTCAGCGGCAGAAGGAGCTCCGTGCTGCACGAGCCGCCATGTTGGAGCGGCTTGAGAAGACCTTTGCCGAGGCGTTACGGCGGCAGGACTGCAGCATGCGGGCCATTCCGCAGGCACTTGCACGTGCGCGAAATGAGTTGGGGCAGCTCAACATGCAGCGGAGCTAAGAAAGCAACAACAGCAACAACAGACAACAACAAAAGGGAGTTGGAGATGGATGGAGAGAGGGAGAGAGGATGTTGTGTGTATGGGTTTGGAAGAGACTTGATAATGATCCCCCTCCCCTTTAGTAGTTCTACATTTATTTAAGTTTTTTTTTTTTTTTAAATTATTATTTGTGTTGTTGGCAAATTATTGCGTTTTGTATAAATGTTTTTTTTTTTCTCTCTCTCTCTCTCTCTCTCTATTTCTTTTTCTTTTCTCATGTATGCATCATATTTATTGCGCGAGTGTTTATGACAGCAGTGCACAAGGTGTATCGCGATACACTGTTTGTTTGCCTATCAGTTTTTTTTTTTTTTTTCACACACACACGCAGAGAGAGAGAGAGAGAGAGAGAGAGATTAACATGTATTGCTTTCTTTAGCAACGAAACGGCGATGTACATGAGGCCACGTAGTATTTTTATTTTATTATTATTATTATTATTTCCACCGTATCATATGACATGAGCGTTATGGGTTTATGCCGCGCTCGCTGTTTTTTTTTTTTTTGTTTACATTTGTTACTTTTTTACTTTACGCCTTGTCTCTTCTTGTTTTTGTCTCTCTGTTGTTGCTCAGTTGTGGAGGATGGCATCAGGAGAAGAAGAGGGTTCAATTCCCCCACAGGAAGGAGGCGACGACAATACAGACACAGTAGTCACAAGGGGAGACGGTAATGTGGAGAGGCAAGGGGAAGTTGACACCCCGCCAGCAGTTAAATGCCGACGTCTCTCTGACTTGAGCGTCACGACTACAAGCAGCGACAGTGGCAGTAGTGTCATAACGTTAAAATCTATTGAACGAATGCCCTCACTAGATCCGAGCAAAATGGAACAATCGCCGTCCCGCGGTTCCGCAATCTCACCTAACCCCGGGAGGGCGTTTGAGATTGCGCTCTTGCACTTACCCAGCGAGGGTGAGTTGGCCGCTTTGCCCGAGGCGTCACTCCCGCATCATCCATGTTGTCCAGTACTGCGAGCTGAGTCTATACACGGCATGGACGCCACTGCGTCTCCCGCCACATGCGCTGCAGTGCAGGACAACGCAGCGTGTGCCACGTTGACATCATGCCAGGAATTTAGGGAAGATGGGCCGAGCGAAGTGAATACGGGGGCGGGCCCTGCTGCAGGCCCCGACAGGATGGCAGCTGCAGTGGACCATCCACCGGAGTCTAGCAACGAGAAGATGGGTGGGAACGAAATGGAGAGCCATGACGAGAGGCCGTCGGAGCAAATGCCGAGGCCGGGCTTCGCTGGAGAAATTGCACCTCAGTATGGTGCGAATAAAAGTGCGTCGCCACCGTTGCCATCACCGTTGAATGTAACTTCAAAGCCGCGTGAGAAGATCCTGTCGTCTCACTGTCTGGACGGATCAGGGGCGAGCGAGGTGCGGAGGAGTGTCACGCTGAATCCCACAGACATGCCGCCTCCATCGAATGTGGTTGGCAATGCGTCACTCAGCAACAGCAGTTCGGTGGAGATGGAGAAGAAATCGTCGAGTTCACTTCCCCGCTTTAGAGCGAGTAGCACACAAAAAATAGCACTCCACCAGGATGCTCTGCCTGGTGAGGAAATTAAAATAGAGCCGGTGCGTAGCTTCCTCACAGAGAAGCAGCAGAGGGCCATACGACACGCACCTCTGGCGTTGACACGGTACCACACTCCACCGCCACATCACATGCTCCTCAGCGCTTCGTCAGGCAGGGGAAAAAGAAGGCGATCCAAGCAGGATGCGTTAACGAGGATGCCCCTGGACGATGGAGAGGGCTCGACAGATGTTCACGTCGTATCGCTTGAGTCAGGGTACACGAGCCACAATGAAGAAGCATGCACATCACCTCAGAAATTAGGAGGGCGGGAGGTGGATCACGCGCCGCCGCCCGTGGAGGATGTGAAACAAACCGAGGGGCCTGTACGTTCTGCCATTTATGAGCACCCGGAGGAGAGCGAGCCGCAGAATGAGATGGGCAACCGCGAAATACAACGCCGGCTGAGCGATTTTATGGGGGCATTTCAAGATTCGTCCCAGAGGAATTGGGCGTCTGTTTTGTCAATTTCTCCACAGGCCTCTCGAGGAATTGTACGTTCTTCTTCGTATACTGCTTCCATATTCAAGAAACGGCAGTCATTGGACAACAGGCGGTCAAGCGATGGCTCGGCGCCACTTGTGCAGAGCATCAAGGATTTGGCGTCCACAGAAACTCTGGAAGAATGCCCAATGTGCGTGGAGTCACCCAATACTCTTGCTGAGGTAGCCACCCGCATCTCTCAGATACTTTTGGATGTTCCGAATGACGGTCCCAATGACGCATCTCCGTTGCCTGAGGTGACTTCAAAACCACTCGGTCGGCTAAAATCCGAGGCGACGTCTCCTCTCATTTTTTTGGCTGAAACTAATGTTCATGGGCCCACGCCACCGCCAGCAACGACAGAGGTCAACTTTTCACCATCACCATCACCAGCACCTCCAGTGAGCGTCCTTGAAGATAAAGACTCAAATTTACAGGAATCTGACGTTAGGACTGGATTTACGCCACCATGTAGGGCTGATGACGCATATTTGGGCAACTTGCTTCCAGGCACCATTGCCCCTTTCGCCCCGGCGCCGTTGTCTTGGCACCGCCGCGTCCGCAGCACTGTCGCATGGCTTGGGGACTACGATGATGACAAAATTTCCATTTACTCACCAGCAGACCCATCACTAGCGTTGCCACCATCTGACTTTGCCGCCAATGCCACCTACCTTTCCAAGCAGAAGGAAAAACACACGGAGGGTTCCACTGCCAGTGAGAGCACCGGTGAAGAGGATTTGCTTGAGGGATTCTACCCCGGGGCGTACAAGGTCGAACGGGAGCATCGTTTTTCCAGTGGTGTCGTTTTCATCTTGGAGAGAGAAGACTGTTTTGCTTGTAGCGACAACAACACCGAGGGTGGTGACGTGACAAACGTCGTGCGGCGTAGCAGTAGACGCACCTCGGCGGTGCCTCAAGTTTTGCCGATGAATTCACCGATCATTTGTTCTCCACATAACAAAGAGGTGTTTAATCAGCATCCCACGTTGCCCATACCGCAGCAGGATGGCGTCTGGCAAAGTGTAGAAGACGCCGACGACAATCAGGGGCAGGAAACGAAGAAGAGTCTGCAGCGCCATAGTCTTTCTACGGATCAATACGCCTCTTTGAGTTTGTCCAGCATTTATCGCCCAACCTCCCACAAATACGCACCGGATCCCAACAAGATGTTCTGCCCAATAACCAACGTCTTCCGGCTGCGTCAGCATTTTCCAGACTCGTCCACTACGACAAGCGATGATGATGGGGATGGTGAGTTTGGCTGCGATGGCGGCTATAAATTCTCTGACTATGGATGGGAAGGGGAATAGAAGGATTGGTGAATGAGGACAGCGCATCGCATGGCACCTCCATTTGAATTGAAATGGGTGCTTTTTATTACTGAGTGCTGCAAAAGCTAAGAGGGCGAGAAAGAGGGAGTCGGCATGACCCCAATTAAGGAACAAATGGATTTTCTCTGGCGAAGGAGTGACTCAAGCAGCCCCCTCTTCTTTCTCCCCCTCCTCCCCCCCAAAAAAAAGAAGAAGAGAAATAGTGACATCCATGGGGCAATTCTCCCACATAATTTACACAATGTGCCTGTGCCTGTGTCTGTGGGAGTTGTCTGCGTGTGCCTCTTTACATGCCGGTAGGACAATTACTGAAGACCTTTCATTGTTATCATTCTGTATATATGTATATATGCATGTGTTTTCGGTAAACATTTTTCAATAGTACTTTTTTTTTTCTTTTTTTTCCTTTTTTTTTTGTGTGTCTGTTTAATTCATCGTTGTATAGTTTCCATTCCAAAACCAAAGTTTTAGTCGCCTACACGCCTCTCCCCCCCCCCCCCCCCCACACACACACACACACGTGGAGGGCGGGGTGGGAGGCTTTATTTGGACCTGCACTTTTTCCCACCGTTTTATTTTTATTTTTATTTATTTGTTTTGTTTTTGTAGTACTTTTCATGAAATGTAGAGAATAAAAAGGAATCATCATGAACACTCGATTGGCTGCCGCATAAATATATTTATGCGGTTATAATGACATGATGAAGAAAATGTAATTGTGTCTTTTATTTTCTCTTTCTTTTGATTAAATTATTAATAATTAATTGACTGGTGAGGCGTTGACCAAATTTTTATTTTTTTTTTAGTTGTTGTTGTTGTTGTTGTTTTCTCGTGTGCCTATATATATATATGTGCCTTATAGGCCTTACGTCCATGTGCGTGTCGGTTTTACCGTAAATTGGGTGCTTACCGGGGGGGGGGGGAATCGTCTTAGCGATGGGTGGGATGGGCGGAGTGTACGAGTAGAAGACATCCCGGACGGTGTTTATTTATTTATTATTTTTGACAAAAGACACAAGTGAACATCTACATTTATAGGAGTAATGTACCCGGTGCATACATGCATGCATATGTATGTGTGTATGTGTGTGTGTTTGACTGTATTATACACAAATCACAATTTATTTTTTTTTTCATAGTTTTTTCTTTTCTTTCCTTTTTTTTTTTTTTTTTTGTATGTGTGCGTGTTGTGACCCCACTTTTTATTCATCCTTTCTTTTTTTTTTTTTTTTTTTTTTTTTTTTACATCAACGCCGCTTCAACGTCTCGGTTTTATTCTAAATTTTATTATTATTATTTTTTTTGTGTGCATCTCTGCGGCGGAAAAAGAGGGAGAGGCCGCTGTCGACGTGGCCTTACAACATGCATGTATGTTGTATGCATATGGATGCTGTGGCAGATATGAGTGGCTTTCTTTTCCTTTTTTTTTTTTTTGTGTGTGTGTTTTAATTGCAGCAAGGAAACTATCGGAGACACACGGGATTTGTGGAGCGGAGCAAAAAAAAAAATAATAAAAAAAATAAAAAAAAAAGACCAACAGGCATCTAGGAATAAAGTGGGATAATTTACATAGATACATACATGCATACATACCGAGAGGGAGAAGAATTCAACATGGACACTGTTGGGACGAAACCCAACACATCCCATGACGACAATGCCACACAACATACTCGCCGTGTGATGTTTGCCGATGAGGTGGAGGCTTGTCTCCAGAGCAAAAATAATCATCACAGCAACGGTGAGGACGACGGATGCACACAACAACACGTGGAGACCGCCACACATGCCGCAGTGGGCCATCCGCCAGCAGAGGAAGAGACGCAGTGCGGGAAAAACGAGCACAAGGGCCGAAAGGGCAAAAACAACCGACGTCAGCGCAGGCACGGTGGCCATGCAAAAGCGACAGCGGCGTTAGTGGAGGCGATTGAGCTTGACGAGGAATTCGAGGAGAATTCCAATTCACTCCTTGACGACTACGCCATGCTGCTGGCGGCGGATGAGAACGCCAAGCGGCTTTCCGTGGAGGTGCAGCAGCTGCGGGAGCAGGAGGAGGTGTACAAGACGCACCGCGCTCTGAAGGCGATGCGGCTCGACCAGGCCGTGACGGAGCAGCCAAGGCGCCACGAAAATACGGAAAGCGGCTCCAGCAGGGACAACCACCGCGCGGGGACAACCGACGTAGCGTGCGGGGACAGAACCCCGCTGGTGGAGCGGCCGCCACCGCCGCCGGCTGATGAGCACGACGCAAATATTTCTAAAGCCCCGCCAGAAGCGAGTGGATTCTCCAAGTGGGCCGCGACACTTTTGGCGGCACTCACAAAATACGGCACCGCATGTCGTCATCATGTGTGGAAGCTGCTTTTTTTTTTCGTCCTCGTGTTTGGCCGGAGACTTCTGCTTCGGTCATCCCCGTCGTCATGCATTCCCGCACGGCATCCATCTGCGCCCGTGTGAACACGCACGGGGGGAAAACAAAAAAAAGTTCAGGAGCACCCCGTTCATGGAGACGAGGCCAACGGCAGCAAAGAGAAAGAAAAAGAAAAATCAAAAGGAGAGAAACAGGGCGTCTGCAACGTATTTTATTTTGGAATCTTCTATGCCATTTTATGGCGGTGTGACGGTGTGGCCCAACAATTCCTTTTAAATTCGGGGGGAGAGGGGCGGAACAACAGGAAGGGAGCATCACGCGCCGCCCTCCCATTGCGGAGCATGCATTGGCAGTTGCATCCGGCCTCATATGGGGAGGAGACAAGGAGCAAAGATTACACGACTGGACGGGAGTCGGAAAAATAGTAATAATAATTTTTTTCTTTTTTTAATGGGAAGAAAATGTTTCTTTCTTGCCCTACCTTTGTTTCTCCATGTGTATACATGCATACATATTTATACATGGATAGTATATTTGTTTCAGCCCCCCTCCCCCTTTACAACGCAAACAGCTACAGAATGCAGGCAAAAACATGGAAAATTGGTGATTTTAAATGCCAGTACAGCAGTTAATGAATTAATTATTTAAACCTGTATATATTTACATATATTTTTGACTTTTCTTTACATTTTCTATGGGGAAAATAAAGGGGGAAAGAAAAGGCACAAATTAAGGCTTTTACAACGATAGGTGGCTTCACAATCTCATGATTCATGCGAGACAAACAAATTCAAGTAGCCTAGGCGTTTTTTTTTGTTTGTGTTTGCCACAGGTGTGTGTCTTTAAGTGAGTGGAGGCGTAGCAACCAAATGAAAAGTTGCTCGGCACGATATGTGCACGAATGATTCGTTGTCGGCTACTTCAATCAAGGCTTAGAAGGCCGGGATGGTGACTGCATTGTGATCGCGCAGCCACACGGTTGGCTTTGGGGTGAGGCTGGACCCTATGCAGCCGGTATTCGCCGCTGTGGCAGCCGACATCCGCACGGTGATGTTCCAGTGCATGCAGACGGACCTCGACGTCTTTGCTGTTATGTGACCTGTGGGCGACGAGACGCCGCTGGATGCCTGGCCACTTCTGCTGCGGCAAAAGTTACTGGCTTTGGGTCTCTGCACCGGTTCGGCGACGGCGCGTTACTGGGAGTCACAACTTTACTTTTTTTTTGCACGAAACTCATTTCTGTACTGTACGCTTACATTGCGCACGCTGCTGCATAACTGCGTGTGTACTGGCTGGACTACGCGTATTGGACGGATGTTTTCTGCGTGCACGGGGGAATGCTGTTTCTTTTGGCTTGACGAAAGGTATAGGCTTCATGCTGTGTGGGGCTTTCAAGCTACTCAGTACGGGGGCTTTTTTGCCGCTGCTTATTTGCAGTCTTTTTTTTTGTTTTTTTGCGTTGCCGGACGTTGATATCATTTGCTTGGGTGGTTGCCTGTTCTTGTGCAGGCGGCTTGCGACCTTGCCCTCTCCTCTCGCCGATTGTGGAATTCCTTGTGCCGCAAGCGCACAGTACATGTTTTGGTGCGGTTGAAATCTTCTACGCATGCCACACTTGCCGTTCTTATTTTATTATTATTATTATTTTTTGAACTTTTGTGGGCCGACAGTCCACGGCGCGACGGATGGAACGGTGCTGAGGGGCCTCTTTTTGAGTGCCGATGGAAGTGATTTTGTCTTTTTCTCTGCTTCTGTTTGTTTGTGTGTGGCTGCATTTTCTTTTTGGTTGTTTTTGTTTTTCCGCCACTTTATTGCTGGATGGATGCCGACCGCAGTGCCGCTGCTGCGCATACTTGCGTGCGATTTCTACGGGTGTAGCGAAGTGAGCGTGGTGCATGGCTCTCATTGTGGATGGCGTCTTTTCTGCTCCTGTAAACTTTTTCTTTTTGTACATGCATGAGTGCGTATCCACATATATGTTTCCTTCTCATGTAAATAAATAAATGAATTAATTTATATATGCATGTCTTTTTTTTTTTTTTTTCCTTTTGCCGCCAAAGTTGTCTTTGAGTGCATTTACTCACTCACTAACGCCCATAGAGGGGGCGGTTACACGTGTTATCACGGATTGTCCGGGTCCCACGGTCCTGGCCACTTTTCAATGAATTCCATCCACGCGCTGCTCGAGCTTGGGGTGCAGCGAAGGAACGTGGAACGCGAGTTGAGGAATGCGAAGAGGGAAAACGGCGAGGCAAAGAAGCAGCGGGCGATGGGTATTGTGAGCGCCATTGAGACCAAGCAACAAATACTACTCAGGTCGTTGGCACAGCGCTTCGTGTACCCCGCATCGGAGTACCCGCCGACAACTGAACTAGCGGAGTTGTCGGATGTATTCACAAATCTGCTGCGGGATGTCGTGGAGCAAGGAAAATTTTTTTTATTGTACAATTGTTCCTCAGACGCCTGCGAGGCCCGGCGATGCACGTGCGCCAAGGAGGGTGCTGGCGAGGTTGGCGACTGCAGCAAAGGACGTCAGCGCGGTGAAGAGAATTGTCGTCTGTGTTCCACCTCCGGCCGGGGTTTGTTGGACGTTCTTGGCAGAATTTCGGCGAAGGTGCTGCACGAGAGCCACGCAGGGGCGAATTCATGCGTCGACAACATTCCATTAATTGAGCAGTGGGATGCGGAGCTGCAGGCCGCACTGCACCATGTGGGGGACGTCGTTAGCCAGGCTCATACCGAGATGCTGGTCGTGCTTGACGCTCTGAGCGATGGCCGGTTTCCGTACCTGACAAGCGGCAGCTCCACGAAGGAGGGCCCGCCGCTGTGGACGGAGATTGTCCGTCTGTTTGAGGACGCATTTGAATCTGTTTTGACGGATGTAGTACGGCTGCTGCTGTGGTGCATTCACCAGCATCTCTTAGGCCGTGGTGGGCTGGCAGCTCGCCCACTGTTTGCGGTCAAGTCTCACTGGTCGTACTCCGCTTCCAGTGTCGTTACGTGCCCGTTGCCGTCGGAGTTGCACGAGCGCCTCATGCGAAGATGGAAGAAAGAGCTGATATGGATAGTGGTGCCTGAGTTTCGCCTGAGTCAAATGACGAAGCGGTCGGTGCCGATGTTAGGACGCGTCAAGCGACCGATGCTGCGGACCATGTTTATGGAGGATTCAGCGAATAATCGTCTGTGGGAGGCGTTGCACTACGCCACAAGCCAGCGTTGTGACGAATTGCAAGAAACCGTGAGGGGTTTAACCAACACGTATTCCTTTTACTTTTCTCACGAGGAGGAGTACTACCCCCAGTTGGGTGCTCAGCGTCTGCGAGAGTTGGTGAATACAGTGCGGAGTTATGGCATGAATGGCGTGAAGCACGCTGGCGCTGGAGCATTTGTTGTGCAAACGGAGGTGCTGCAGCAGGTGGCGCTCAGCAAATTAGAGCCTGCATTGAAATCTGCACTGGTGACTACAGTGCCAGCGACGATGCGTGGCGATGAGGGGATAACGGTGTTCCGCTGGAAGGCACTGATGGACGTAAAAGATGACGCGTCGCCTGCGGGTTCGCTGAGCAATCGACTTAACGCCTTTCGTGCGGGGCGGAAGGTACCCAACAAGTACGACAAGGGCCTTGAGCCGTTAGCGCACACGCAACGATTTTTGGAGGAGCAGCGGGCGGAGGTGAAACGCATGCGTCAAGGAAGGGGCACGGCATTGGAGGAGGGAGGCAAAACGCAGGCAGAGACAAAGCAGAGCAATGGGAACGGCTCTACCGAGGATAACAAGAGGAGTGCTGCGGTGGCTGCGTCTACAGCTGTTTCTAGGCGGTATATAAACAGGTTTGCTTCTTCATCGATTTCACCTCCCATACTCAACAAATTGGGTAAACAGCCATTGGCCGCTAACGCCATGGCCATAGGGAAGAAAATGGGCTATGAGACGACCCCGCCGGTGCGGGTACTTCCAGGTTCCGCCTCAACGACGACACAGAGCACACATGAAGAGAAAACGCCAACTGGCTCCACAAGCCATGTATCCCCCTTGCATCCACAGAGCGGCAGTGGTAGGAAAGGGGGATGGAACTTCCCATCAAGGCACAGTTCTGAGGTACGCCTACCGACTTTGAGGAATTACACGCCTAGCTCTAGTCAGCAGTTCATCAGGACTAGGCCGGCATCCAGAGAAGCCATTGCACAGAATGGACGTGAGGAGCAGTCAGCGCCCGTCATGAGCTGCGTTGACATTTCCAAGCAGAGTGGTGAGGAACAGAAGAGGCCGGCGTCTAAAGAAGCCATTGCAGAGAATGGGCGTCGGGAGCAGCCGACGCCCGTCGTGACCAGCGCTTCCAGCGGCGTTGAGAGGGATGTCGCAGACGACCCGGTGGCCGCAGAGCCTGACCCACTTACCGCGACTTCTACCCTTAACTCGCCCCCGAAAACAGCTGTCGTAAATGCCGCTGCTGCAGAGTCGGCAAAAAGACGAATTTCGAGTCTAAAGAAGGTGTGCCCGTTTCTCCCAGAAGTGCCTTTTTCAGGAATTTTCCTTGAGGATCTGAACCTTACTGACCCACGCGTGGAGGCTGCCATGAACCGTATGCGAGCCGTGCGTGGCAACGCCTCAGTGACGCGGGACTATCGCTCGATTGCAATGGCGGAAGACTCCCTCTGTGCCGTGGTCGAGTCCATTGCCGAAGAGATGTTTAATGCAACGTCGCGAATGCTGTCACGCTACCCATTTCTTGAAAGCCGCGTGAGAGGGGTGCTACTTGGGAATATTCCCGAGCTGGAAACGGACGAGGACATTCAATCGCTGCTCATGATACGCCGCGACGCAGAGAGGGCGCGGAGGTCAACGGCGAGCATTGACAAGTGCCTGCGGGAACGTGCCGAGGCGTTGATAAACGACATTCCGTACGTTGTGGAACCTGAGCGCTACAGTGCACACCCATTTTTGCTCGCGGCGCCTTCTGCTTCCTCCGCCACTTCTCACCGCTCACGCGATGAGAAGGCGAATAGCGATGGGGATGACAGCAGAGCGACGCAAAGGGTGGGATTACAAGTGCCAACACCACTGGGGTCGGACGCCACGAGTGAAGTGGACAAAACGCCACAGGCAGAAACGGTTTTAAGCGATGGGGAGCCGCACCGCGCCATGGACGGCAGGGAGGAGCAGCCACGGCAGTCAAATGGGCAGGAGCAACCGATGGGGGCGGTGTTAAAGCCGGTGACAACGGGTGGATCCACGTCGAAACCCCTTGCAGCAGACCCCGGGCAGAAAGTTGTTGAAAACAACGGCGCATTGTCTTCTGAAAGGCCCTGTGAGAGTCATTTACCGCAAAGTTCATCGTTTGCCAGGGCACGGATGGGAGGTGGCGCTCCGGCATGCTCTCAGACCGTTGTTCAAGCAACGGAGGAGAAACAAAACTTCTCGATACCACGAGTCCCTGTCGCGGACACTCCTTTGCCGGCGGGAAGAACAGGCAGGGCGAGTGAACAAGTTCAGTTATTGTCATCCAAACCACCTGTTGGGCCGGTTGTAAATGCGTCACGGGAAAATTCAGTGCCGCCTTTCTACAGGCAGGGGGGAAAGCCTTTTTCTATGCCTCTAGAAGAGAAACAGGGAGCGAATGAGGTCGTGCAGAGAGCACCTCACGGAATTCCCACATCCAACAACATACAGTCGTTGACTGATTTCCCCATTGAAAATCAGAAAATGACTCCCTGCGGCCCAACATTTGGTACCGTGAAGCGCTTCCTGGAGTCTGAGCGTCAGGAGCTGGAGAGGCTGGAGTCTATTCTTGGAGGGGTCCGCCGCGCTGGCATGGGTTTGAAGGAGGGCAAAGGACTGCCGACAGTGGACGCCGCAAAGCAAATGCCCTCCGAGGAAGTGGGAAAGCGGAATTCAGCGGAAGATATGCAGCAGGCCGCGGGGAAATCGCAGACGGGGCTGCCGAAAAAAACCTCCTCGTCGTTTTCAACAACACCGAACGTATCGGCTGATGGAAACGGGTCGGTGGGCCTCTCAACGCCGCAACCCGCCGCAAGGCGGGAGTGCGCCCAGTTGGGTTTGTTATTTGAGCAGCTTCCGTACATGCGGAGGAGCAACGAAGGAAATGAGTTATTGCGTAAACTTATTGAAGAGCGACGGCGAGTGTCCGAGGCGCATTACACGCGCGAACGGGATTTGGCGGCTTTGCAGTCGCGTCAATTGAAACGAAGTTCGCAAAGCCCACTACCAATGCACCCCAATCTCCTTGCAGAAGTTGCTGCGAGATCCTCGTTGGGGGCAGCCGTGCCAAATGGCGCCGACGGTGGGCAGGCACGATTATTGCCATCTCTTTCACAAGGGCCGTCTCATGACAGCTGTGCCACACAACAACAACAACAAGAACAACAGCAGCATTCGTATGGCAATCAGCGGTCGACGTGGGGACGATACACCATTGAGCGAAACCCTCCGACAAGCGTGACGGTGCAAAGGCGTCTTTCAAGCGCCCCGGGGCTTTCGCAACAAAGTAACGAGGACCGCATGCGTTTCCCCACGATCAGCGTGGGTATTTCAGCCGACCACATATCACAGGCGCCAGATAAGACCGAATACGAGAAGTCATCTAATAACCACATAGGAATGAGCCATAGGTACATGTTACTATGCCGCCAAGCAGGGATTAAGCCAAACAGTATGTTGTTGCGAGCCCTCCCTGACACGCAAGGTGTGTCTGTGAGTCGTGTTGACACCTCTGGGAACTACATCGGTCCCAAGGGCCTTATGCCCCTTCTGCAGGTGTTACGCGACAACACTGGGTTGAAGTATCTCAACCTAAGCCACAATAACTTGGAGAATGACGAGGTGATTGAACTGGTTAGTTTCCTTATGAATCCTAGCGGCGCGTCGCTGCAGTCCCTAGATCTTTCCGACAACCCCATTTCCCTGGCAGGGGGTGCCGCAATTCTGCGACTTGCTCAGGCGAGACCCTCTTTGCTCTCCGTTCGGTTGAGGGGGACTCTTGTCCCGCAGCCGGTGATCCACAGCATCGAGGAAGTTTGTGACTCCAATCGTGCCAGCGCTTCTTAGAAAATTCTTGCGTCTTCCCCATGAAGGATAAAAGAAGAACATCTGCAACGGGAGGGAAAGAAGGGTATGGAGGGGGAAATGACCGAAATGCATACATGTAGCTACGTTGATATGTTTATTTATGATATCAAACTCTTTCTCTCTCTCTCTCTTTTTTTTTTTTTCTTTTTGAACGCCTCCTGTATGTTTTTTCTTCAGTGAGGGGAGTTTTATGCTTCCGATTTATTGGCGGTGGTGCTGATGCGTGGGCTTTTGCGTCATTATATCTGTAATTGTGTACAACTAGGCTTATTATTATTATTATTATTTTGCGATGTAAATTAGACCGACGAGAATGGACTTAAAAACAAATGACAATTGAGTGAGAGAGAAAGAGGAAGTGGAAGAGAAAGAGAAAGAGGAGGAGGGAGAGACGCCGCATTATTTAACAGTGTGCTCTCACTCGCTTTTTTTTTTTTTTTTTTGCCTCTGTGAGCTTATTATTATTTTTATTTTTGTTGTGCGCGTATGCGTTTGCGTTGAATGAGGCGCAGTTGCAACGACATTTTTATTACAGTGAACGTTGTTGGACGGTGTGGGATTCCCTTTTTGTGGTCTACGGAGAGAAGGAGAGAAGGAAGAGGCAGAAGGAAAGCGAGGCGTTTGGGACGTTCACTGGGCAAAGAGCTTCAAGAAGGGACGAACACAACGGCGATGGGAATTTCTCACTTTTTTTCTTTTCTTACATGTGCTGCTGCTTTTTATTTATATTTGTTGCCGCTACGCTGCACCGCTACCACCACCTTTTTTTTTTTTTTGTGTGTGTGTGTGCTTTTCGTTCTTTCTTTCTATGGGGGGCACGTCGTTTTGGCACAATCAAAGGAAGGAGGGAAGAAGGGCGGCGAGTAAATGCTTCCTGGGCGACAGGGCGGTGGACGCTCCAACTTTTTGGTTGCCGTCCGCTGTCGACACCTCGATGCCCGAGAGGAAGCCGCTGCGTCGCTGCGATTTGCCCGACGAGGGGGCACACGTCTTCATTGCGTCTTTTTGAACCGCCCCGGTCTGTCGTCACTGACCCCTGAGGCAGCAGCAGCAGCTTATTTCCCAAGAGGAGGGGAGCCGCGGGCGAGCGTTGTGCTTGTTGACCCGGATGCCTGCACCGACTTTGCCGCGAAGGGGAGGAGCTCTGCTGTCTTGGCGGAGGGACCATCGCAGCTGATGCAGTTGGGCGCGGAAGAACTGCAGCGGGTGCTGACCGGACACGATGGAGTTCGTTGCTTTAACTTTGACGATGTGTTTCCACCTACAGTGACCAATGAGGAGATTTACGCTACACTTGTGCAGGGATTAGTGATTGCTGCAGAGAATGGCTACAACGGGACAGTCTTTGCGTACGGTCAGACGGGGACGGGGAAGAGCTACACTGTATTTGGTGAGAGGGACAATGGGGTGCCTGGGTTATGCACCCTCGTAGCGGCCGATCTGTTTGGCCAGCGTAGCCGGTCCGCGTGGCTTCGCGACACATGTGTCCCTGTAATTGGTGTGGGAGGTCCCTCACAGCAAGGGAGGGAATCAAAAAGGATGGTATTTGTGTCGTTTATTGAATTGTACAATGAGCGATTGCGTGACCTACTCGTTGATCCGGCTACGGCCACACAGGCAGCGAGTGCGCCGAGCCAGGAGGAGGGAAGTCGGGGCAGACGTCTTCTTTTCTCTCGGTATGATGACTTAGACATTGTGGAGCATCCTGTGCATGGCGTACAGGTGCCGCATGCGAAAAGTATCCGTGTACGTTGTGTGGAGGAGCTGGAACGGCTTTTAGAAGAGGGCGACCGCCGCCGCACTAAGGCCTCCACGGCTAGTAACAAATTGAGCTCCAGAAGCCACGCCATTCTGCAGTTTACTGTGAGACTTTGCATGGGTGCGGCTGTGGATCAGGGGGATGCGTGTTGTACCCGACACATTGTGGCGGACCGAAGCGAGACGCAGGCGTTGTGTTCATTTCTTACGGCTAAGCTGTTGATGGTGGACTTGGCCGGTAGCGAGCGGATATTGGGATTTGAGAGCCTTACAACTGCTGTCGCTACGGCTGGAAGTGTCGCTCACGGCACCTGCGGCGTGCCCCACCAGCGGGACAGTCGTCGTAGGGAGGGGTCAAACATTAACCGAAGTCTTCTCGCGCTGGGCAACTGCATCAAAGCATTGGGAAAGGCCTGCCGCCAGCAGCAGCAGCAGCAGCACATGTACACAGCGTCTGGTGACTCTTTGTCGTGCACTTCCCATTCGTTGATGCATCAGAAGCAGCACGCCATTTACACTAGATACAAAACGGCCGCGTTTGAGGTTCATGTTCCGTACCGTGACAGCAAGTTGACGCGTTTACTTAAGGACTCTCTTGGCGGCAACACACGGACTGTCATGCTAGCCACCATTTCCCCGAGCTGTACCTCCTTTGAGGAGACGCTTTCAACGCTGAAGTATGCCTCTCGGGCGCGAAGAATTACGCGTCAGGTGCGCCAAAACATTCTTGTGGAGGCAGCGGACGGAGACGAAGAGGAGGATGGAAATGATGAGGGGGAAAAAGAAGAGGAACTGCCAGAGACGGTAAATGGCGGTAGTCGTGGTGCATCGTCTGGCGGGAACGGCAAATGGGCGTCAGAGCGCGAGTCAAATCATCGGCTGCGGCTGCTGGAGCTTGAGACAGAGGTGCGCTGTTTGCAGACGCAGTTGCATGTAGCGCAGGCTGCGGCGAGGAAGATGGGACTGCCGCGATCCATTGAGGACGACGTGAAGGAAGTCGCGCCTGTTGTTTCCACAACAACCGCATCGTCGGTCGTATCTGACGGTGAAAGCGGCAAACGTATGGAATTGGATCGCTGTTTGGAAATTTACGAACAGACACGATGTGAACTGCAGGCTCTTGTTCGTGAGAGGGCGACGGCCTCTGCAAGACGGGAAAATGGCTTAGGAATACCCCGGGACCTGGGAAACAAAGGACCCATCCGTGAGCTGCTGCGGCAGGAACGGAAGAATGCTTTGCTGTGGGAGCGGCAACGACGCATAGATGCATTTTTATTGTAGATGACTTCAACATGTACTTCAAACGTACACTGCAGCATCACTGAAGAAACTTATTCTTTTTTTTTTTTTTTTTGATTGACCTTCTAATTCATATAAATATTTATTTATACTCTGCTGCCGGTCATTTTTTTTTCTATTGTATTTTGCTCATGATATCTTCTGTTTCTCAAGGTAAAAAACTGGGAAGATTTTTTTTTTTTTGGTGCGGATTTCTTCATTCTCCCTTTCTCTCTGTCTATATATATATATATATAGATGCGTACTCCTAGGAGCGGAGGATAAACGATAATTCCGAGAGATGTGTGCACAGGGAAGTACGTAAGTAACAGTCACCATTACAAGCTGATATTTTATGAGGCGTTCAAGTGGGAAGAGAAAAAAAAAAAAAAAGAGGCAGCGGTCTTCCTCAGGCTTTACCGTTGTGTTTTTTCTTTATTATTGGATGTTATCTCATCAATGTGCACAATGGGTTTCAGGCCAGTTGCCAATTCGGGACCTCGGATTTCCTCTTGCCACTCTAGTGAAGGAGTTGGTGATTGAGAGGCCGCAGCCGAGAAGGGAGCAAAGCTGGGCGAAGGAGATGGGGCTGAATGGCACACAGGAGTGGGAGGAGCATAAGGTGAGCAAACACCGCTGCCTCTCGGGTAAACGCGGTGAAGACCTTTTTTGGTGTTTTATTGGTTGATTGGCCCGTGCGACAGATGCACTTTTTTCTTTTTTGAGCTCGGAGGGGCTCGATGGGAGTTTTTCTTCCTTTACGTGTTTTTTTTTTTGGTGTTGTTTCCCCAACTGGAGCGGTCTTGTTATTGAGGCTGCGGTGTGGTTTCCCTCTTGCGGGGGAACAGGTGAGATACTTCACCTGAATTGACAGCAGGCCTTTCGGTCAGATTCTGGAGTTTGACGCACAAGAAGATAGTGGAGGAGGTGAATTGCGTACATCCATGTGTGTGCATGTGTGTGTGTGTGTGGGTGGGTGGGCGTATTGCAGGTCCAGTGATCCCGAGCCGCCGCTGCCTGGCGCGGGAGAAAAGAGGATGCGTTGAGACGCTTGTGCTTTTGGACGTCCATCTTTTGCATCCACCTTGAGGAACGCTTTGGTGACCGTTGTGTGTGTGGAAGGATAGACATCTTTGTGCCTGACGTGGAGGGGAAGAGTGGGAGGTGCTGCAAAGAGTCAACTGGAAAAACGGTCCTTCAATTTGCCTTTTTTTTTGTTTTGTCATGGAGCTCAACGAGAAGATTGGGAAGAGGGATGTGGGGTTCTGCCGCGTGCTGCGAAACGTCGGCGTTATGCCACGTGGCCGTATCGGGCTCTATGAGTTTTGGAAAAGCGTCGGGTTTGACACGGTGCCGCGTCAACAAGTGCGGCGCAGGAGGAGCGAGTGGATTCTGCATGCAACCGACAGGGGGGGGGGGGGGTGTTGTACGGCCTTCCTGCAACCGCGGAAGCGCAGAATAACAGGGCGTCCAACTGGCTTGAAGGTCCAATCAGGCCGGAGAGTATTTTTCCAAAATTTTTTGCTTCTTTTGCAGGCAGGGATATCACGGGCTGCCGTTTTTTGAATCCACTAGGGAGGCCTAGTAACACTTGACGAGCTCAGGAGGGAAGGGACCGACAATGTTCTTTATTTCCGTGCCGAACATGTATGCTCCTGTGGCCATATCTTTGTTGATGACTTCGCGTGGTGACGTGCCACCAGTGCGTCTCATTATTTAACGCCGATTTAATTTGCATTTGTATTTGTTTTTTATGAAGGAATTTTCTCAACGATATCGGGTAGGGTGTGTGTGTGTGTATATGTACATTTGCCTGTGGTGTCTTAAATACACCCAGAGTGATGCATTTAACTCTTTATTTTCTTATTTATGCGTGGTCCCATTTTGTCCCCTATTGTTGTTATTTGTTTCTTGTGGTGGTGGGGCCCGTTGTTTTCTTACGTGAGCGCTGCGCATTTCTCACCCCTTTCTTTTATTATTATTATTATTATTATTATTGCTGGTGTTCTCTTTTCTCACCATGGCGGTGTAGCTCACGGCTCTCATCGACACCTCATTATACGAGAGGGGATGGGAGCAGCACCGGTTGCGTCGATGGGTATTTTATTTTATACTTGCATGATTATTGGCGTGGACTTTTGCGGCTCCCCAATTCCCATTCGATAACAATTATTTCTGTTTAACTTACGGCACATTTTAACAGCTTTCCCGCTGTTCTTTTTTACTTTCTTTCTTGCTGTAGAAACACACGGAGACATATATATATACATATAGTGAGAGGAAGAAGGAGTAATTTATTTGCTGGGTGCATTTTGTGATGGGGCAGCGTAGTCGTGAGCGGCATTTTGACCCAAACCCGTTGGCAGTGGGTGCGGCGAGAGTGGCGCGGCAGTCGGGGACGTGTGCCGATGGTATGCCCGCCACGGAGGTGTGTGCACGTGCAGCTAGGCCAATGAGAAGAGGTATGGGAAGGGGTGAACAGAGGGAGGAGGAGGCTCAGCGGGATCAGCAGAGTACGCAAGACGGCGGCCGGGCGAAGCAATTCGCATACCTGCCGGTGAGGTGGAAGATGGATGCTGAAAAGATCAAATGGAATGTGCTGCGGCGGATCCCAGTGCATGTCTCCCAATCCACGCCATGCAGGGGCACTGTCAGTTATTCCCGGCACCGGCTGGCAGATGCGGTAACGGCGGCCGCCAATTTTATCAACCTTTCAATTGCGGCGCCTCTTGAGGGTGAAGGACCATATCGGCTGCCGGGTGAGAGGTTTGCGTTTGAAAAGGATAGTTACAAATCCCTTGGCTCGTCTAGCAGGAAAACTTTATCCTTTGTGAGGCGTGCAAACAACGAGGTCACCGTGTGCCAGTTACCTAAAAGTATCTCCAAAATGAGAGGTTCTGTTTCAAATACACCAGGCGTCCCAGTCAATGTTGAAGCCGTACCGAACTCTCCGTCAGTACACAACACGCTGCCGGTGCTGGAGGCAGAAGAATGCACATTGACAACATTGAAGGCAACGCCACCATTGCCACAGCTCCTGTCATCCGAGGAATGTGCACCTCATGTCATTGAGGCTGCGGAGTCCGAGCAACCGGCTGCGGAGGAGGTTGCTGATGCCCGAGTAGCTGTGGAGAGTACCAGGGCGGCTATTGTGTCTAACGATGCCGTGCCTCCAGCTGCTTTAGTTGATAGTGTGGTCTTCCCGAAAAGCGCCTATGGTGTGGTTGATCCCGTTTATGCGGTGGTGGAGCGGTCACTCCTGAAGGAGCGTCATTATTTAGAAAAGTTGCAAGAAATTATCAAAGAGGTTCTATTGGCCGAACGGGAGAGTTCACCGGCTGCGGAGGAAAGTGCGGTTGCAATACTGCCAGAGGAGAAGAAGGAGGTGAAGGCGCCAGGCCCTCTCAAGCCAGTCTGGTACGCCAGGCCGAAGCAGCCGCAGGTCCCATCGAGTCAGAGGGTGAAGGGTGGGAGGCCGATGCGGTACACGGCACTTGGAGACGCAGTCGTGCGATCCGCGTGGAGCGGGAGCCTGTGATGTGTGTGTGTGTTTTTTTTTTTATTTGATTTTCATTTATTAGACGCTGCGTTTTGTTTTTATTTTTGCAGGAAAGAGACTCTGAATGTATTTCCGCTTTTATGTATATTCTGTTTTTTTTTTTTTCACCTCTGTCTTATTTGATGAACATATCTTACGATTGTATACATGTATACATGTATATATAAATATATATCTTGTTTGGTTTTTTATTTTTTTATTTTTATTTTTGGCTGCTTTTGTGACACGCATTGGTGTCGGCTGCGGACCTCTTCTGCTGGTGCAATTCGTGTGTGCGCCACGTGATTTTTTGGGCCGTACCTTTTTATGTTCGCGTGACTGTCTTTCAGAGGCGGACTGCGGTATTTGTGCGCATCCGCACAGGCGTTCCATTTTTTTTTTTTTTTTTCCACATGGGGTGTTTACTGCAACCACAGCCATCAGCGATCATGGAATCAAATGTGCTTGCCTACATTGTGATTCAGGTGTTGTATATAATCCCTTTTTTTTTGTGTGTGCTGTTTTTACTGTCTTCAGTGAATATATATATATATATTTGCCTCTCTCTCTCTCTCTGTGTGTGTGTGTGTGTGTGGAGCCGTTTTTCATGGTCTGAGCTTGTGGTGGCGGGAGGACGACTTGTCACTTCCGGTGCCGATGTGCACTTTTTTTCGTTCTGGGCTTTTGGACGCATGCACGCACGCGTGACGACTATTTTTAGTTGATAGAAGTCATCGAGAAGTGAACATTTCACAGAAGTGGCACCGCAGCAGTTGGGATGGGGGGCTCTCCGCAAAGACGGACGGTCTGGCAGGCGGGGGGAACGCCGGAGGAGGATTGTGAAGAGAGAGAGAGAGAGAGAGAGAGATTGTTTGTTTGTTTGTTTTTATTTGTGATGGGGCCGGCTGCCACAACATATATATAAACAAAATAATATTTATAATTTATATTTATAATTGATGAGAAGAAAATATTTTAGTACGATTTCTTTTTTCTTTTTTGATTTCCCTTCACTTCTTTTTTTGCGACGGGGTTTTATGGTTGGAGGGGTTCAAAAGTCTGCCAATTTGTAAGTAATAAAAATTCCTTCATTTTGAATAGACCGCAACACGCAACGACTCGTGGCCCTCGAAATATGCACATGTATTTATTTATATTTATTTATATTTATATTTATAAGTATTACTTACTTGGAATAAACATGGAGGATGTGGTGAAGCCACTACCTTTTCCATTTACGCTCTTTATTTATTTATTTATTTTTTTTGTTTATCTATATATATATGTGTATATTTATGTATTTATAGCTTCAGTATTCTTCTAGCAGTTTAGACTGATACCTTGACGTAAAGGCATTCATACACACGCACATATATATATATATATATTTATATAAACACAATTTTTTCTTTTCTTTTTCTCTCTTCCAGTTCCTTTGTTTTTGTGTTGTGTTGCCAATGGGGGATACACGCGGCGATTCCACAGGGGAGACGGAAGGGTTGCAGCCACAGGGGTTCATGGAGACGAGCGACCCGTCCGATCCTGCGCCGCAGGACACCGCGGTGAGTGGGGAGACGTATGCATCTCCCGGGGGAACGATCACCCGCGACGCGGTAGCTGCAGTGCCCGGTGAGGAGGAGGCTGCAGCAGCGGCCTTTTCGTATAATTCCGGCGGCGATGTGCAAGAGCAATCCACGGCTGCTGACATGGCCGCTGGCGAGGACATCCTTGTCCCGAAAAACCATGAACAGTCCCTTTCTACCAACGTGGTTACCTTCGGGATAGTGGAGAAGGTACTTGAGGATGAGCGGGATTGCTTGCTAGAGATGCAAGGAATTCTGGAGGCTGCGTGCGACGCGGAGCGGAAGAGGTACGCGATTGAGGGCGGTTTGAGCGCCGATACGATCGATACGGACAGCATACGGCCGTATAATTTATGCGAAGGTAGTGCTGAGGAAGAGGCCACGGCGTATGACATTTCAGACGAGGGGCTCGAAAAACCTGCTGCCGTTGGGGATAAAGGCACACCAATCATCACAAAAAAGTGTGGTTCCGCAGAAACGGAGGATGATGGCGGCGGTAAGGCTTCTCGGGTACTGTCTAAAATAGAGGAAGACCTCCGGCGATCGCGTCTACCTCTGCCACCGGGCAAAGATGGCCGTTTGTACATGCAATTTATGCCAATTACGGATGCCGTCGTTCGTTCGGCCTGGGGAACATTGCAGTCAAAGTGGGTTGCAGAGTTGGAGGCGGAGATGCTTCCGGAAGACTGTCGATCGACGAGGAAATTGCGGGAAATCCTCACCGCCGCCGCCGCCGCTCGCCCACAACCCCGTTTCCCGCCACGCAATGGACCGGAGTCCCTACCACCTTGTGGGCATTCGCCGCACTCGATGGACGTGGAGAAGGCGAATTGCCCGGTTGCCTGCCATGCTGTGCAGTCACCAGAAACAGCATTTCCTCCAGGCCCGCAGCGTGCCGTGGGGTGTGACGGCTCCAATCCGTTGCAGGAGGCATGTGAGTGGCTCACACCTGGTGGGATTTACACCCCAGTGGGAAGCGAAGAAGCGGGGGCTGTAGAATTGCCGCCCATAATTTCCTCCGTCTACACAACACGCTCCGTTTTTGTGCCGCAGCAGGAAGGTGATGGCGTCTATTCCTCCGCTACACATAACAAGCCGCTCCATTCATCATCCGGCAATGACTCTGCGTCAAGTGCGGGGATGGCCGCACTGCCAGTTATATTCGGCGCAGACGGTCTCCCCATTGGCGCAAAAGAGAATGGGAAGCCGAGTGCCAAACCAGCGAACTACCCATGTGCAATGGCATCCGCCGCACTAATGGCTGCACCACTGCCCAATACGAAGAATCACTTGGGGGCAGTACAGCCCAAGACGGGCAAACAGCCTACCTCAATTGTGGCCGTAAATCACTCGTCCGACGAAGCGGCTGAGCACCTACCCACTGTTACGGATAACACGAGGAATTCCACTGGGTCGACAGAAGGGACCATCGCTTCAAGTGCAGTTTCAACTCAAAGTGTTTCCGCTCTTGGCAAAAACGCGGGCCAGGGACGAATAAAGCAAACAAATCCACGGCCAAGCAGACCTCCCTCTTTGGTCGTTGATCGCGTACGCAAGCTTTCGTGTTCATTACCCATTTATGCGACTGCAGAGAAGGGGTTGGAGGAGAAGCTGAGTGTAATGGAGCGCGTCCAGGACATCGTTGAGGAGTTCTATGAGGAGTATACCCGCAGCTTGGAGAATTCGACTGAACCGTCGTTATAGGCGGGATGAGGCTTCTTGTCCCGGCGGCTTTTGCGTGCCTCTAATTGGCGATGTTTTCTTTATATATATATAAATATATATAAATATATTTACTCTTGATGTAAATATTTCCTTTTTTCTTTTTTTTACATTTTGTCAATGGCGTTGGGTGTTTATTTCTGTTGCTTTGCTTTTTTTTTTTTTCTTTTTGTTTGCGTCTTCACGCATGTCGTTATGCATGTATGTTTTTTTTTTTTTTTTGTGCGTGTTGCCATTGAATTATGTATTGAATGCGATATTCCTACGGTTTGTGCTTATTTATGTTACGCCTCCTTTTTTTTTTTTTTTTTTGGAATTACCCCTTAAAAAGAAAACAAAACAAAAAACAAAAAAAAAGAAAACTACATATAAATATATAAAAATATACACACACACACACTTTCTGTGCCTTGTTGACGGTGGCACCGTTATGGAAGTTGGGGGGGGAGGGGAGGGGACAATAAACATGGACTGGAGAGAGGAAGGGAGAGAGGGGGGGGGAAGTGCAGGAATTAATAGAAAAGAAATGAAATAAACACGTGGACTAATGTGAAATGCATTTTTAATACACGCAAACGGATGTTATGGAATGTTTGCGTACTTGCCACAATGATATACACATGAAATGACAGGCATGTGGCATTATTGTACGGTACGGACCGTCCTGCCGTGTTTGCGTGTCACCAGACATATCAATAAATAAATAAATAAATAAATACATGTCTTTGGGAGTGAGTGGTTTTCTTTTTTCTTCTTCTTTTTTTTTTTTGCTGCACTGCAGAAGGTGACGTGACAGCTCTTGCGCTAATAGGAGGGGAAGACAAACGAAATTTATTATTACGGAAGCTACTGGGTAAAACATTGAAAGACTCACACGGAACTTAAGTTGTTTTCTTTTTTTTTTTTGTCTGTATTGGTGATGCCAGTGGGGGGTTCAGCGCACAGCTTCACCAGTGATATGGAGTGGCTGCAGCCACGGACGGAAAAGGGGGAGTTGGCGCCATCTGACATCGCAGCGCATTCACTTTGTGTACTGAGGCCCCTCAAGTTGTCTGAATTACAGCGCGGCTCGCGGCATGCCGTTTACTCCGCTGGAAAACAAACCGCCGGCGTTCTCAGCGGTGCGGATGGACGGGGGCGTCACCAGTTGTTACGTCAAGAAACCACCACCGCGGACGTGGCGGCGAGGCAGGGACGAATCCCCGCCATGTTTCGGGGACCGGCAAAGGGATGTGCGACGTACAGCTCTCTGGGCGACGCCGTCGTCTGCTCCGCGTGGGGCAAAAAGTCCCTCGCGGCAGGCAAATGGGAAGAGGCGATTTTGTTTACGTCGCGGTTGCCCGAAAAGAAATCGTCGTTGACGACGAGGCACCTGCCGTGGGGGAAATTCACGATACGGCGGACTCGACACCCGTCGCCGAAGGAGAGGGCCGCACTCGCCCAGCCTCTCGCTTACGCGGCGCCTGACACGACATGTGCCGTCGCAGTGGCCGACACCGTTGCCTCACCCGACTCCACCGTCTCCCCCGCGTCTCCCGCCTCTCCAGACTCTTCCAGCGGGTTGTTGCTTTCGCAATTGGGATTGAGGGGTTTTTCGAAAAGAACCAAATTGCGGAGCTGCCAGGCCGTGTTTGAACGGACATCCAAAGTGCTGCTGCGGGAGAAGGGGTACCGTGAAAGGATACTAGAGATTGTGGAGGAGGTTTGTGATGCGGTGCGCGCCGCTGCCGCAGTGAATGTTGCGGATACCGATGAGGGTGACGGAGTGCAAATGATGGGCGACTTTCCTGCAGCTTCTACCGTTTCGTTGCCTACAGGGGGTGTATTTGGCCCTCCAACGGCGGTCACGGAAGAAGCGTCGTCCAAGTCCCGGAGCATTTCCCGGCTTCACAAGATGGGCCACAGCTGTAAACAATTTTTGAGCGTTGATTCTGCTTCTGCCATGCCGCCATTGAGCCTGCAGAAGGAACCGGTGCCCACGTCGCAGGAACAACAAAAATTTCCGGGCACATCCGGTGAACGGATACCCAACGCGGCTACGCAGGAAACTGTTCTACCGAGGCTGAGGGAATCCACTAATAGGCCGTTGGGGGTGGAGGCGGTGCGGGATGTCGGCTCCACCCCTTATGATGCTGCAGCGGTCAAGGAAAAAAAAGAAACGCAATCCAATGGGATGGAGAAAGAAGTCTATGAATTCCCTTCCAGACATTATCATAATGAAAGCGCAAAAGTGGAGGAAACCTCGAGCGGGTTTCATACCCCCGTTGCATTCCGTTCTCAGTATCAGATACCATAGCCAGTGCCTGGCGCAGTCTTGGCAGTTTTCAATGCCGTGGACGTTCCATCCCATGACTGTATTCGCCGTGTTGTGGGGCGCCCGCTGATGGAAGGGGAAGGGGAAAGGGAGGAGCGTGCATGCCCGAAGAGACTGCAGGACGCATTGTAGGAGGCGTGTCGGGTGTCGATTGCAATGCCTCAAATTTGCCATGAAATCTCCCAAACACCGAGGGGGCTGGACAGTCCCCCACAAACACTTTTTTGCCTTATTTGCAAGCGGGAAGGAAAACAAAGACATATGTCGAAACGCCGGACTTGGTTGTCGCGCCTTTAACCGAGGCCTCTTAAAAAAAAAAAAAAAAACTGAAAAAAATTTACTTTAAAGTATGGGTGAAAATTTGCGTTGAAAGAGTTATTCATTCCTGTTTTAAACTTTAATTTTGCTTGTTTTTTTTTTTTTTTTTTTTTGTTTGCTTGCCTTTTTAACGGAGCCAGCTCCTGAATATACACACACACACACATACACACATACACACATACATACATACATATTTATATAAACCCGCATACATGGAAATATCTAAACACACTGAACTATATACATCTCTCTCTCTCTCTCTCTATATATATATATATATAGGTAGGTGTGTGTACAGGTGTGTGTACGCACATGTATTTGTGTGTTTCTTTGGCGGCGCGGTACCGTCTAAATCCCACAAATGAGAGGCGGGAGGAGGCTCTGGTCCTGTTGTTGGGTGCGAAGAAAATAAATAATACTTTTTTTTTTTTTTTGTTGTTGTTGTTGTGGGCTTCCAGCGGAAAAGAAACACGAAGAAAAAAAAAAAAGGAAAAAACGTCTTTTTGGTTTTGTGTGTTTTGTTTGAAATGCAGAAGATGACGGGTTTTAATGAACAGCGGCGGTTGAGGGGGAACTGAAGTGAAATCAAAACCCTCAAAAAAAAAAAAAAAAAAGAGGTGCCGTTTGTGTTTTTTAAAAATTTTCTTTTGTTTTTCCTTTTCTTAAACGGTGGTGTTTCTTTTTTTTTTCTTTTTTCTTTTACTTTACGTCGCCGTGTGGTGCAATTGCGTGTGTCTCTCTCTCTCTGCGTGTCTGTTGCCAGGGCACATGTTGACTTCTTTTTTCTCCTGTTTTTTTTTTTTTTTTTTTTGTGTTTCCCGGCACCGTGTGTGTGTGTGTGCGGGGGGCGACGAAAAGGAAAAAGTGAAGTGCGTGCGTAAAAAATTATTGATTGACAATTGCTTTAATTATTACTGAATTGACTAATTGTTACCGTGAGTTTTATTTTTTTTATTTAGGCTTTTTTATTTGTTTGTGGTGCTGTCTGCGAGAGACTGAGGGGGGCAGAGAGAGGGACAGGCAGACAGACAGGGGGCGGCATCGACGAGGCCTGCGACAGCGACGCGTATATCAGGGCGAAGGGAAGACATATAAAACAAACAAAACAAAACAAAACAAAACAAAGCAAATGGGTGACATGAAGAGGTTTATCGTGGCGGTCGCGGCGGTGTGTTTACTTGCAGCCACCGTGTCGGCCGCACCGGCGGGGGGCGAAGGGGGGAAATTGTTGTTGAAGAATGATATCGGTGCCCACCGCCTTTCCCAGAAGGAAGGCGATGCCAACAACCCTCTTGCAAAAGGTGGCAGTAACACCAAAGAGAGGACTCCACCTCTCATGAGTGCCGACGTTACAACAGTCATCATTGTCACCTCCGCCGCCTTGGGCTTTTCATTCGCCATGTACTGGTGGTACGTTGTCTCTGACATCCGCATTACACCGGGCAAGGACCAGGGCATGCGCAACGCATACCTGACAGATGAGGTGATGCGTAATGTGTACGTGATCAGCAGACGTGTGTCGGAGGGGGCCAACGCCTTTCTCTACGCAGAGTATCGTTACATGGGGCTCTTTATGATTGCCTTTGGCACTCTAATTTTCTTTCTTCTCGGCGTCGCCTACTCATCGCCGCAGGAGGGCAGCAGGCCAGTGGCCTCACCGTGGGCCAACGCAGCGCTGTCGCTGCTCGCCTTTTTTGTTGGGTCTCTGACTTCCGTCTTTGCGGGCTGGATCGGCATGCGCATTGCGGTGTACACCAACGCCCGCACGGCGGTTATGGCGACGGAGGGGTCCGAGGAGGGCGACCAGTCGCTTGGGTTTGCCAAGGCTTTCCAGACGGCGTTTCGCGGCGGGATTACGATGGGGTTTGCGCTTACATCGGCCGGCCTGTTTTCCCTTTTTGTCACGGTGAAGGTGATTGGAGCGTATTTTGATGATGTTCCGGAGAATGTGCTGAACGTGTACGAGTGCGTGGCCGCGTTTGGTCTCGGTGGGTCGGCAGTTGCGTGCTTTGGCCGTGTTGGTGGTGGGATTTACACCAAAGCCGCCGACGTTGGCGCGGATCTTGTTGGGAAGGTGGAGAGGAACATCCCCGAGGATGACGCACGCAACCCAGGCGTGATCGCGGACTGCATAGGCGATAACGTGGGCGACATTGCGGGGATGGGCTCGGATCTCTTTGGCAGCTTTGGCGAGGCCTCGTGCGCGGCGCTTGTGATTGCCGCCGGCTCCGCGGAGTTGTCGAGTGAATTCACGTACATGATGTACCCGCTTCTCATCACGGCGGTGGGCATCCTTGTCTGCATTGGCAGCGCTCTCATCGTGGCCAACAACAGCGGTGTGCAGCGTGCGGAGGACGTGGAACCCACCCTGAAGCGCCAGCTGCTCTTCTCGACTGTTGCCGCGACGGTGGCGCTTGTGTTCCTGACGGACTTTGGTCTGCCGGATACATTTACAGTTGGTACAACAGCTACGACCAAATGGCGTGCTCTTGTCTGCGTGATGTGCGGTTTGTGGTCCGGCCTTATTATTGGGTACACGACGGAATACTACACCTCCAATGCCTACCATCCCGTGCAGGAGATTGCCGAGGCATGTGAGACGGGTGCCGCCACGAACATCATCTACGGCCTGTCTCTTGGCTACTTCTCTGTGGTGCCACCCATTTTGGCGATGGCCGTTACAATTTTTGCCTCCTATCGCATGGCGGACCTGTATGGCTTTGCCCTTGCCGCCCTCGGTATTCTCTCCACCATGTCCATTGCCCTCACCATTGACGCGTATGGACCCATCTCTGATAACGCTGGCGGGATTGCTGAGATGGCGCACATGGGACACGAAATCCGCGAGATCACAGACGCCCTTGATGCCGCAGGTAACACTACAGCAGCCATTGGGAAGGGCTTTGCCATTGCATCCGCTGCATTTGTGGCACTTGCCCTCTACGCAGCCTATGTGTCTCGTGTGGGCATTCCTACAATAAACATCCTTGACGCCCGTGTGATGTCTGGCCTGCTTGTTGGCGCAATGTTGCCGTACTGCTTCTCGGCCTTCACAATGAAGTCGGTTGGTTTGGCGGCAATGGACATGGTGAATGAGATCCGTCGCCAGTTCCAAAACCCGGCTATCGCGGAGGGCACGGAGGAGCCGGACTACGAGAGTTGCGTTGCCATTGCCACGCAGGCGGCGTTGCAGCAGATGGTGGCCCCCGCGTGTCTTGTCATGCTGACGCCCATTGTCATTGGTGTGCTCTTTGGCCGCTACACCCTTGCGGGGCTGCTGCCTGGTGCCATTGTGTCCGGCGTGCAGGTGGCCATCTCCGCCTCCAACACCGGCGGGGCGTGGGACAACGCGAAGAAGTACATTGAGAAGGGCGGACTGCGCGACAAAAACAAGGGGAAGGGTTCGCCGCAGCACGCCGCCGCCGTCATTGGCGACACCGTTGGCGATCCGCTGAAGGACACTTCCGGGCCCGCGCTGAACATTCTGATCAAACTGATGGCCATCATTTCGGTTGTTTTTGCACCTGTCTTTGAGTCGCAGCTTGGCGGTATTATCATGCGGTACATTGAGTGAGTGGAACGCCGTGAGCGCGAGGAACGTTTTTTGTTTTTTATTTTATTTTTGTGTTTTTATTTATGCCTGTCGCCATATTTTCTCTTCCGCTTTTTTTTTCCTCGCTGATTGTGCCTTGCGTGGGCGAAGGGCTGGCGGACTGACGGCGGGGCGAGTGGACGGCGAGGACAAAACGACAGTGAACGGAAAAGAAGAAGAATAAAAGGGCTGCGGGCAAAAGAAAAAAAAAAAAAACAAAAAAAAAAGCAGACGGCACGCGGTCTTCCGCGCAGCCACTGGGGAGTTTTTGAATGAGTGAATGGATAAAACCAGAAATTATTGGACAGGACGCATGGAAGGGAAGGAGGAAAAAAAAGACAGAAATGAAAAAGGGAAAAAAGATAAAAAAGAGGGGAAAAAAAAAGCAAAACGAGTGAGAAGCGGCGTACGGGGGATGATTGCATGCTGTTGCTGCCGTGATTTTCCTTTTCTTCTCCATCACCACCCTCTCATTGATGTCATCATCCCGCACTGTTTCATCCCATAGGCTCACTTTGAGCTGTATGAGAGCATGCAGGCATGTGCCATACATGCACGCACGGATAGATGGCGGGGAGTAAAGCGTCTACGTGTGTGTGGGGCGTTGCAGCAGGTGCAGGTGGTGGTGGTGGTGGGGAGACTGGGATGTGCGCGTCAAATGGAGGGGAAACGGCCGTGAAAAACAAAAAAAAAAAAAAGGAGAGAGAGAGAGAGAGAAAAAGGGGGAAAACGAAAAGACGAATTTAAATAACGTCCCGGCAGCGGTGGGGACAATATCTACGCATGCGGTCTTATAAAGAGATCTTTTTTTTTTTTTTCCCGCACTTTTTTTTTTCCTTTTAATTTTTAAGTTTCCTGTTATTTACTGCTGGGGGGCGGCATTAATAGCAATTTGTTTCTTTAAGCGATAAGATCCCACTGCTCATTTTTTAAATTTATTATGCTTATTTACCAACAAACAGTGAACGGGAATAAGAGAGAGAGAGGGATAGAAGGATGGAGGGACATTTCCACATGTACTCAATAATATTAAAAATAGTAAGAATGATGTTGATGGACGTTAGCAAATGTGATCTTTGGATTTGCGTGCGTGCGTTGAGGCGAGAGACAGAGAGAGAGAGAGACAGAGAGTGAGAGAGAGAGAGAGAAAAAGGGGGGGGTGGGGGGAAAAAAGAGGGAAGCGTAAGAAATGAAGGTGAAACATGGGGGGAGGGGAAAGGGGGGTGATATTTATTAACACGCATAAAGACACATAAGACAGGGACGGAAGGTAGCGAACATGTATCCTTGTCTGAGGAGAATGCCAGCAAATTGGTTATAACGGCTTGCTTGTACATTTCCGATTGTGTCTACGGCAGTCTCTTTCTGTGCGTGTGTGTGTGTGGATGTTTGGCTGCTGCCCTGTTTTTCCCGTTTCATGTACTTTGAATGACTGTCTTTGGTTTACAATTTGCTTTCTTTCCATTTTTTTTTTTTCGTCTTTTGCGGCTGCCCACTGTTTTTTTCTGTGGTTGTGTGTGTGTGTGTGTGTGTGTGCCACAAAAATCCGCTGCCTGAAGCAGAAGAGGAAAAAATAAAGGGTACTGCATATTTTAGTTATCCATATTTATATTTCTAGTGAGTGAATAAATTGAGTGAGGGAGGCACACACATTTGTTGCTTTTTGACCTCTTCGTGCGTGTGTGATTGACCACCGCAAAGTGCACAGTGCAGACAGGAGGCGATAGAACTACTTCAATTATATTTACAGCTGTTCGTGCGGTTATTTGCTCAGCTATTATTTTTTTGGGCCGTGGGGATTTACGGGGAGAGAGAGAGAGAAAGGAAGAGAGGGGGCGTCCGCGTCTGCGTGTGAGTTGACATGCGGGTGGAGGTGAAGTTTGGTACACAGACAATTGCCGTGGAGTTGCCGGATGGCCCCACACCGCCAACTCTCTTGCAGCTCAAAGAGCAGCTCTGTACGCAGACGGGTGTTTTACCTATGATGCAGAAGCTTCTTGGCAAACCGAAACTGAACGATCCCGAAAACGACGCCAAATCACTTGAGCAAATGGGCGTACGCAACAACGCAAGGTTGATGCTTATTGGCTCTTCCGTGCCGGAGGTGGTGTCAGTGAATACCACTTCCGCCGCACAGAAGCAGCAGGAGGAGGAACGAGAGAAACTGCTACGAAATCTTCCGCTGAATATTTGGCTGCTTCCATCGTTTGCCGGCTTTATGGCGGATCCCTACGTGGAGGGGAAGGGCTTTTCACTGGAGGGCGGCGGGGTGGGGGTGGCGCTTCTGACACTTGACGTGGCGCTCACGCGTATCAACACGCTGGGCGTGGCCACAGCAAGCGGTGGTGGGACCGCCGCTGCACTCTTGCAGTCTTTGGGAAACGAGGAGCAGGCGACCATTTCCCACCCGCTGCTGCGGCAACTAAGTGCGGCAGATCGTCAGGCCGTTCAGAGAGCACACGGTGCGCTGCGCCGCTGCTACTACTTTGCGCAGGAGGCGGAACAGGCGCAAAAACCAGAGCAGGTCCTTCCTGTTGTGAAGAAGGCCGTGTCATCTGTAGATGGACTTGCGGTAGGGGAGTGGCTTCTGCTTCCAGGTGGTTGGAACGGGTTGAATGCTGCCAACGCCATATACCTGCTTATTCACCGGCGTGGGCCAGAGAACTTTGACGTCGTTGTCGTGAATCGTGGGCACGAGGGGATGCCGTACCACCCGTCGTGGCAAACAGCGGAGAAAATTGTGTCGTGTCCAATTCTCCGCTTTGAGGGTGTAGCAAGCGCACGTCTGCTAGACCACACCTTTTGGCTGCTGTTGCTTTCTCTGTGGATGCGTAGCAACGGGTCGGGTGCTCGGTCGGAGTTTATCCGCGCGGAGGTGTTCTACGACGTGCTGCTGCCGTGGCTCGTGGAGAAGGGAGGCAAACACGCGGACCCGCCGCGGTTTGCGACGGAGATGCTGCTTGGCACTTGTGATAGTCGAACGGACGAGGATGATGATACCGCCGCCAGGCATTGTTTTTCTGCCGCCATTCACGAGCATCGAGCGACACCGGTGCGCAGCGCATCGAGCGCCATCAAAGGAGCCGTCACGGCATTTGTGTACCTCTTGGAGCAGTATGGTGTCCGTGCACGCTCTGTACAAAAATCCATAAAGTACGCGCTCAAATACGAGTTTATGATGCGTGCAGCGGAGGATCTCAGCGCGCTTGCTCGTCGCTTTATGCGTTCCTATACAACTGACATCAACAGCAGTCCCGAGGCAAATTTTGATGATGAGACGCGTACGGACGCTGTGGCCGGCAGTGATGACACTCGACTTTTACGCATCCGACGGGCGATGCGGCAGCTGCGACTGGCCGGGGTTGACGACACGATGTCTAGTGCCAACATGGACGATGTCTGGCGCACCGCAAGAGCAGCGAACATCATCTTGAAAAATGCCAGAAACGTCATCCTCACGCGGGAACACTTTAGAGGGAAGACGGTGCTTGTCTACTGCGGGGGGATACATGAGTCGTCATGCAAGAAGTTTTCCACTCTTCTTGCGGAGGCACCACCACGACTGTTTGGTGCATTAACGGGTGTTGAGATTCTTTTTGTTAGCTGCGATCGCGATCTTCATGCCTATGAACAGCATGCATCAATGTTTACATTTGCCCGCGCCGCCTATCCCTGCACGGAACTTCTAAAACTTTTGGACATCAGCCAAATTCCGGAGCTTCTTCTTTTTTCTTCCGATGGTCGACTTGTGCATCGGCGTGGGGTGGTCGCACTTCGCACAGACCCGGAAGCCACATTGTTTCCGCGGGGCCCGTGGAGTGGCGCCACGCCCCTGACGGCAGTAGACGTGGCGATGTTTCGCTGCAGCGCCGCCCAACTTGCACACCACACAAATAAACGCCTTTCTGTTGATGGCGGCACACTCACCGCGGAGGATGCCACGCGTGTTTTGGATCTGCTTAGTGCCGTGCAGCGGATGGTGGATGCGCTGCCCAAAGAGTCGCAAGCAACGAGAAGCGGCCTCTCCGCCAATGGCCCAGCGGATGTGTATTCAAACAACACGCAGATGCAAGAGGGAGAGGATCAGTCATTTCAGCTCTCGCAGCAGCGATTTGTGACGGTGGAGGCAAGCACGTTCTCCAACGCAAGTCTTCTGCCGTCCGCATCCACAGCGGCGTATTATGGGCAGGCGGTGCAGGCGGTTGTGCCGGAGCTGAAGGACATCAGTGATGTGCGCCGTGCCACGGGATGGTCGGAGCTCGATGTGGCACTCAGGCGCGCAGTGGAGGCCGTGGAGGCGTTGTGGTTGCGTGCACGTCACAGTGGCACAACATCACGCGTGGCGATTCAAATGCACATCATTGAGCTTGTCTCGCGGTTTTTTTTGGAAATTGTGCCCCTGCCACTTCCACGTGGAACCGACGCATGCGCGGTGCCGATTGAAGAGCAGCCGATTGTGTCGAGTTTCTACACGGAAGAGCCACTTCCTGAGCCGAACTCTACGAACAACAACAACAGCGGAGGTGGAAGAGGTGATGTTCAGGAATGCATACAAGAAAGCATCTACTCTCTTGTGCTATCGTACACTACTGCTTGGCAGGCAGTGGAGGTGCCGACGCGTGCGTTTGATTCAGAACGGTGCCTGGTTGCCATGGCTATGCTTATCGTGTATGACGCAGCGGTCCGACGCAAAGGAGGCGGTGGACGATGCAGTCTTCTTGCATCCTTGCTAGAGAGTAACGGCGGTTATTATCTTTCCACCTCCATTGGCAGACAATCGCTGTCTTTTGCTTCTATCAGTGCGACTCTGGAGTTGGTGCGACCGCAATTCTTGCTGGCACGTTCCGCCATTTTGCGCTACATTGCATTTCAGCAGCAGCACTACGCCCATGAGTTGTTTGATATGCGCATGTCGGAAAATTTGGAGATACGCAAGGAGAGCGTCACTGTGGAGTTTCTTCGCCGCTTTCTTGACCACTGCTCCTACAGTTTGCATGACTTAGGCGGTTTTGCCGCTGCGGGTTCGGAGATGGACACTCTGATGCAGTGGCTCTGCAGCTCACGTACTCCACTGGCACGTGAGCATCCTGAATTTGCGCGGCTGCGGGACATGGTGTTACTCACAAAATTTCTTGCCACCATGGAGATGCGTGATGCGCAGCTACTGCGTCGCCGCAAAGAAACGGACGAATATGCGACTTGGCGTCTTACCTTCGATGAGGATGCACCCGGGCGCCAGATGAGCGCCGGCTGGCGTACAACCCCCTCCCCTCCGGAGTGGGAGTGTGTTCTGGTACGTGGCCGTGACAGTGACATTGCCGACATTGTCGTAAAGGGCTTTGGCGATCGCGAGTTGCTTTACGGTGAGGGTCTTGTTTTACAGTCCCCCATCGACGTCAGTATCCTTCTCTCCGTGGAGCACCCCACCGAGGACGATGTGCTGCATGCCACTTCTATGCCAACCTTTGATGGCACAATGAGTGAGGAGGAGTCTGAGATTTTGTTGTCATGTCTGACGGTGCCCTATGTGCGACTGCCGCTTGTTCTTGACTTTTTTGCTTCACAGGACCGTTATGCGTATCTCTTTACATCCGCCCTACAGAATGTGTTCCGTGCGGTGATTTTTGAACCCTCCGTGTTTGTTGCGCCGGAGACGCTGCAGAAGGCAAATCCGACTATGGTGCCAATGCGGCTCACTGAGCAGCAGCGAAAGGTCATTGAATTGCGTCACTTGCGTGGCGACTTCTCGGTGGAGAACTTTGAGTCGTGTCTCGGCACCACGTACGGCCTGCTGCTGAACGAATTACGACATAGCCCCGCGTCTGTGCTTGATCCGCTGCGCCGTATCCTTGAAAGTGTTTTGGAAATTGGCCCCTCTTCTGTCTACAGCGCGAACGCACCATATGTATTGTTTATTGTGGGTGTCGTGTGTGATGTGCTTGCCTTTGGTAATATTGTGCGTGGATGGCCGTCGCTAGAGGGTTCGGCGCAACTGGAGACGCTTACGGCCTACCAGACATCGATGCTGCGGTTCCTTCTCACGACAGTACAGCCCACCTTAAAGGAGTGGTGCCGTGAGGGCGAAGAGAATGATGACACCCCGACGCAGTGCGTGCTGCAGAGTTATTTGGGCGTCATTTATCGTGCGGCGTGGAAGATGGCACTGACGACGGAGTGTTTGTCTTCACCCTCTCGAAACGAACACGATGTTGATGGGGAGAGTGGTCAGCAGCGTGGTGCGGACATCTCGCCTTTTTCTTTTAGCACAATGGCATCCCATCAGCACTTGGTGTCTCTTCTTGAGTCGTGCGCCTTTGTGCGAGCCCGACACAGCTTTGGTATGGGCATGCAGCGCACACAACTCACCGCACAGGAGGGGGACAGTCTTTTGTCCCCGGAGGAGAAGTTGCAGCGATTCCTGCAGGCCCAGGGTCTTGACACCTCCAGAAATTCGAGAAAATTACTGGAGCAGGGGAAGCAGTTGATGCTTAGCGGCGGTCGCCGCCGCGCCGTCTTTGTGCAGATCCGCGGCCGCTACCATAACGACACGGTGCGGCTACCGAATCTTTTTCGTAGCGACGCCCGCAGTACTACGGAGTCGCGGCGGCTCAAAATACCGCCAGCGGATGTGCCGGAGAATGTCGTCTTTAGTTACCTACTGGAGGAGTTGCACACCATTGTTGGATACCTGCAATCACTTTCCGCGACCGAACTCTCTACCCTTTTTCAGCGTATCGTACGGACGGTGCTCCGCGATCACATTCACGACAACAAGAACGTCACAAACGATGGTGCTGCTGAGAGCATGGATAGTAATAAGTTGTCGTTATTGACTCACAGAGGCCCCGGTGCAATTTGCCCGCATCTATCCAACGAGGAAACAACAGAAACATTGTGGGAATTGTGTTCGCCTGGTGTCTACCGCGGACCTGCTTCAACTGGCCTTGTTTTTTATGTGCACACATGTGAGCTTTTCTGGCGCAACGATGAGCTTAAGCCGGTGCCTGATAGCATGTCGCACTTTACGGACTTTGAGACAATCCTTGGTCACGATGTGCTGCAGTGTGGCCTTGTGATGCGTCACGAACACCGTCACTGGGTGCGTATTGTCGGTACGCCGTTTGATATCATTGAGTGGACAGCGCCAAGCCCACTGGATCAGGGCGTTTACTCCCCGCTTGCGCTGCAAGGGAATCTTCCAATAGAACCGGTTCTCTCGGCGTCGTACGACCACGTGATATTTGACCGCGTTGTGGATGTGTACGATGAGGCACCATGGCCGGTACGTGCGGAGCGGTGGGCTGTGGACATTGTGCGGGCGGTGCTACGAGAGGTGTTTCCGGCGGGTGGCATGAAGTACTTTCCCGTCGCAGAGGCACGTGTCAATGCGCGGCAGGAACGGCAGGACGAGGGAGTAGAAAGTGAGGTGCGTGTGATGCGCTTTATCATGAACGACTCCCCTCAATATGAAGAAGGGGATCGGGCAACGTGGAAGGAATTGATTGCGTACAAACATCCTGTTCCGCATTTTCATGTGTTTAACCTCATTTCCCACGCACGCAAGATGTACCGCTCCCTTGTGTTCACATCCAATCAGCGCTACTGTCTGCACAGTCTCCCGATTGTGGTGCGGCCACGACAGCGTGAAGAACTGCACCTTACGGCGTTTCAGGCAGGGGACTTGATGCGGCGAGTACGGTGTGAGGGTTGTATAGAAATCCATCGCTACAACTCCAGTCTTCATCTGCGGGAAATGTACCTGCCGGCGCGATTGCTCCAGGGCCTGTTGCCCAGTGCGTTACTTGAGGCATTTCTATTCTGGCAGGACGAGGACGAGGACACTGTCATTCGTGGCTACACCATGGGTGAGGCACAGGACTACTGGTTTAATTACGCCCTGGAGGTGCGACTACGGCCTGGGAAGGGCGACTGCATCGTCATGCGCCTGGATGACGCATCACATCACCTCACAAGTCGCGACAAGAGTGCGACGGGGAGGAACACGGTTGAGGAGAATGAAGAGGAAGGCGATGAAGACATCAGCAGCGCCCAGGTGGCGTTGGTGCGAAGTGCATTGTTGTCCTTATCGGACGCGACATGTCGCTGGTTGCTGCGGCATGTGCATGGGGACGTTACGGCGGCAATTCAGTGGGCGTCTGATCCCACCAACTACGACAGTATTACCGCCATTGAGGAGAAAGAACAAAGGGCCGCGGGTAATGAGGAGGTGACCAGGAATGAAGAGGCAGCAGAAGGACTGGGCCCGAATGTTCATGCGGGGGAGAAACAGAAGGAGGGAGCCTTCAGAGATAGTGACCCGCAACAGGACTTTAGAGGAGAAGGCCGGCAGGCGGAACATATCGTGTTGCTGAATCTCCTGCAGAATCCCGCGCTTTCCCCTTTGCTGCAGCTGTTAACGAAGTTGGAGGACTGTTCACATATTTTGGTGTGGGGCCGCGTGTCATCGCAGCAGCCACCGCTCAAAGATGACGAGGAGCGCCTGGACGAGGAGGATACGTCGACTTTGGCGGATGTCGTGTCCATTGAACTTCCACGACTTCGTGCGAAGTTTCAACCACAAGTTGACACCGCCACGGGCCAGCTGCGCCTGCATCTTGTCGATCACCCCGGTTGGTATGTGGCTGAAGCGCATGACATGCCACGAAATCTGCGGGATGAAAGCGTTGGCGGCTTTTTGCAGCATCTTCGGCGGCCCTTTCAGGAGTGTCTGACACTTTGCAACAACACCAATGGGTTTGCGCTTATGGTGCCGAACCATGAATTTACCGCAATGGATGTGCGGGATGACCCATTTAGCCCACTGCTGCTATTCGATCGTTCCTCTTTGCGCTGGCAGGAA